GACGAAATCTTGGAGATATAGTGGTTACTTACTATTTGTAATGTTCTTCTTCGCGTTGGAATAATTAAGAAGCTAAGTGGGTATTTTAGCTATTTATAGAAGTACACAAGCAAAGCACGCAGGCACTTTGATATTTTCATTATGGTAGTATTACAAAGCAACGGAATAAATACGGAATAATAACTTCAAAGTACGTACCAAAGAGTGGAGGGAGAAAAGACGTTACTTTTGTGTCACATCTCACTATACCAAACCAAAATTATTTAGATGTTGACTAAAATTTTGTTATGTATGTTTCTTGTTCCGTCCATTACTCACCATACCTACTTTACTGCGTCTTGTGATTTATATATAACACTGTGAAATCATATAAGTTGGTTAATGAAATGATCATAACAGTAAGTAGTAAACAACAATTAGCTTTGATAACGAAACTGACATGTGGACAGAAAATGGTTTTGATTGAAATATAATAGTACTCACAATAGATGATGTTGGATTTTACTAACTACACAGACCACAAAATTATGTTCAATCATTTTGCAATTATGCAAGTTTAACGACTATTAAAAATACTTTATTTTATTCATGTATTGTTTTTAATATAATTAAAAATGCTTATATTTCATCTAACCGTTTAGGATGATGTTGCCAATCTAAGCATTTTTGTTATTATTAATTAATCGTCTTGCGGAATAGCTAGCAATCCAACATATATATATAAATAAACACATGTTTACTTTTGTGATTCCTGAAAACTTATAGAATCATCTATAATAATACTTTTCATGACCGTATAATAAATATATGCTATCGTAGTTTATGTGATGAACTTGATTAATTAGTCATAGCTTAATCGATTTTATCTTCCACTCACACTCTCATATCAGTCCAAACATAATCCATACACAGGTAAAAGCATTGCTACTTGGATATCAAAATATCTAGCAAGTGTAACGTACAAAATTGATTTATATTTTGAATGGTTAATTTAACAAATCCTGCACTTGGCTAATTGAGACATATTTTATCAGTTAAAGTTTTATGATTTAGCTATATTGCTTTTTGTGCCTACTGGATGTTTGATTTTATAGACCTCAATCATGATCCATATACATAACAAAAACAAAGACGCCTAAACTAAGTTGTCCCTTCGGGGATATTCGATAAAAGACGTCTAAGAGTATCTCCATTAGTGGATTTTTCATTGAGATACTCTTAACAACTTTTTACTAATTTAATATTATTATTTTAATTAAATTTAGTTATGTTAATAAAATTAATGTTTGAAAATAAAAATAAGCCAATTAGATAAAAACAAATGTGATTTGGGTATTTCATTTGAGATAATCTTCCCATGAGTATCTCTCTCTCTTTTTTCAAATTTTTATTAATATTTTGATATGGATATCTCATTAGATATCTTTGATGGAGATGCTCTAAAAACATTTCTAATGGAAAGTTTTCGAATTTTTTTTTAAATAATATAAAATATGAAATATTTATATAATATTGTGGGTTTAATAGGAGTTTCTAGCACTATTTGAGAAATCTACAATATTATATCAATATTTTATATTTTATATTATTTAAAAAAACTCTTGGAGGTGATCTATAATGATAATAT